CGCCAGTACCAGCGATAAGCTTTATTTTAGGGAAAGAAGAATATTTCGAACAAAAATCGTTCTAACCTATGACGTGATATGCTCTATTCGGCCTAGTGATTTCTGTTAAAGTTCACGAAGTAAGCATATACAAGTGATTATATAAAAAAATAAAAACCTGACGACGAATCGCTCTCACTTGAGCTGCTGCTATCACTGGAATCTGAGTCAGTTGAGCTGGAAGAACTTTCCGAGGAAGATGATGATACATCCTGGGCCGCTTTCTCCCGTGCCAACTTCCGAGCCTGCTCCAGGTGTAGTCTCAAATCAAACCTGCAATTGTGAATGGTAAAAGAAATAAAATTTCGCTCAAAGAAAACCAGTTTCTTTCACTGCTCATGAAATGATTTTAAATTAAAATACAAAAAATATGCTGAAATAATCGAAAAAAAAAGCCACTGACGAGAGATATGCGAGGCCTATTGTCGTGAAAAAATTGATCGAGAAGCGTGTATTGTTCGGATTGTCGCGTGGAAAAATTTTTTCGAACGCAGGCTGCATCGTTCTGGAAAATTTCAGCTGAATTAAAAGACAAGAAAACGCTTGTAAAAAAAAAAAAAAAATGAATTTTAGCCTCAAGGTCATACATTCTAGTCCGCAAAGAGGCGCATTCTGTTTCCAGCCAGTTAATTTTAGAAGAAAAAGACATGAACTCACACAGTCATAGCTGTGATCACTATTCTATTCAAGGTGTTTGAAGCCTAAGAAAGGAATTATTGAGAACAGTAGAATAAACCAAAAATTTATGAAACAAAAGCAGTAAACTCACGGATCACGAATTCGCTCCAGTAATTTTTCCACACCCATCGATTCAGCAAGATCCAAAAAGACAATTTTAATGTAAATGCGCCCGGCTGAAGTTGTGTCCTCCTCGTTCAGCGATATCTCCTCCAAAACCTGCAAAGCAGTAACAAGAAAACTAAGCCAAACTTACAAATTACCGCTTTGAAACAGTTCAGCCAAAAAACACAAGCACTTCTAGATGGAACAGCCACAATGCCGTAATGCGAGACACAGACGAGCAAGGAGCAAAAGAAGCAGTATTTTCGTTTCGGCTCACATAGAAGCGCCGAAAATCGACTGTCACCGACTGCCGCTACAAAGATGCGTTTTTTGCATAATTCTTCGTAGGTTATTGTCGCTAGCGGCACTGTTTTTCCTACAGATGCTTGTAACTCGTAGTTAAAAGAATCTGAAACTGGCCACCACGACTGTCAGAAAACATTCTCCTAAGATTCCAGCTTT